GTAAGAAGTAGAAAGTACAGGTATTTTAGTTAAACATGTAAGAAGTAGAAAGTACAGGTATTTGTGTTCAACATGTGAGAAGTAGAAAGTACAGGTATTTGAGTTAAACATGTAAGAAGTAGAAAGTACAGGTATTTGTGTTCAACATGTAAGAAGTAGAAAGTACAGGTATTTGAGTTCAACATGTAAGAAGTAGAAAGTACAGGTATTTGAGTTCAACATGTGAAGAAGTAGAAAGTACAGGTATTTGAGTGTTAAACATGTAAGAAGTAGAAAGTACAGGTATTTGTGTTCAACATGTGAGAAGTAGAAAGTACAAGGTATTTGAGTTAAACATGAAGAAGTAGAAAGTACAGGGTATTTGTGTTCAACATGTAAGAAGTAGAAAGTACAGGTATTTGAGTTCAACATGTAAGAAGTAGAAAGTACAGGTATTTGAGTTTCAACATGTAAGAAGTAGAAAGTACAGGTATTTGAGTTCAACATGTAAGAAGTAGAAAGTACAGGTATTTGAGTTTCAACATGTATATGAAGTCCAGAAGTAGAAAGTACAGGTATTTGCGTTCAACATGTCAGAAGTAGAAAGTACAGGTATTTGAGTTCAACATGTAAGAAGTAGAAAGTACAGGTATTTGAGTTCAACATGTAAGACAGTAGAAAGTACAGGTATTTGGTTCAAATGTAAGAAGTAGAAAGTACAGTATTTGCGTTCAACATGTAAGAAGTAGAAAGTACAGGTATTTGGAGTTCAACATGTAAGAAGTAGAAAGTACAGGTATTTGTGTTCAACATGTAAGAAGTAGAAAGTACAGGTATTTGTGTTCAACATGTAAGAGGAGAAAGTACAGGTATTTGTGTTCAACATGTAAGAAGTAGAAAGTACAGGTATTTGTGTTCAACATGTTAAGACAGTAGAAAGTACAGGTATTGTGTTTCAACATGTAAGAGTAGAAAGTACAGGTATTTGGTATCAACATGTAAGAAGTAGAAAGTACAGGTATTTGTGTTCAACATGTAAGAAGTAGAAAGTACAGGTATTTGGTTTCAACATGAGAAGTAGAAAGTACAGGTATTTGAGTTCAACATGTAGAAGTAGAAAGTACAGGTATTTGGTTCAACATGTGAGAAGTAGAAAGTACAGTATTTGAGTTCAACATTATGAGAAGTAGAAAGTACAGGTATTTGAGTTCAACATGTAAGAAGTAGAAAGTACAGGTATTTGAGTTCAACATGTAAGAAGTAGAAAGTACAGTATTTGAGTTCAACATGTAAGACACGTAGAAAGTACAGGTATTTGGGTTCAACATGTAAGAAGTAGAAAGTACCAGGTATTTGAGTTCAACATGTAAGAAGTGGACAGTACAGGTATTTGAGTTCAACATGTAAGAAGTAGAAAGTACTAGTGGATTTGGTTCAACATGTAAGAAGTAGAAAAGTACAGGTATTTGAGTTCAACATGTAGAAGTAGAAAGTACAGGTATTTGAGTTCAACTGTAAGAAGTAGAAAGTACAGGTATTTGAGTTCAACATGCTAAGAAGTAAAAGTACAGTATTTGAGTTCAACATGTAAGAAGTAGAAAGTACAGGTATTTGAGTTCAACATGTAAGAAGTAGAAAGTACAGGTATTTGTGTTTCAACATGTAAGAAGTAGAAAGTACAGGTATTTGTGTTCAACATGGTAAGAAGTAGAAAGTACAGGTTATTGAGTTCAACATGTAAGAAGTAGAAAGTACAGGTATTTGTTTTCAACATGTAAGAAGTAGAAAGTACAGGTATTGTGTTCAACATGTAAGAAGTAGAAAGTACAGGTATTTGAGTTCAACATGTAAGAAGTAGAAAGTACAGGTATTGAGTTCAACATGTAAGAAGTAGAAAGTACAGGTATTTGGAGTTCAACATGTAAGAAGTAGAAAGTACAGGTATTTGTGTTCAACATGTAAGAAGTAGAAAGTACAGGTATTTGAGTTCAACATGGTAAGAGTAGAAAGTACAGGTATTTGTGTTCAACATGTAAGAAGTAGTAAAGTACAGGTATTTGTGTTCAACATGTAAGAAGTAGAAAGTACAGGTATTTGAGTTCAAACATGTAAGAAGTAGAAAGTACAGGTATTTGTGTTCAACATGTAAGAAGTAGAAAGTACAGGTATTTGAGTCAACATGTAAGAAGTAGAAAGTACAGGTATTTGTGTTCAACATGTAAGAAGTAGAAAGTACAGGTATTTGAGTTCAACATGTAAGAAGTAGAAAGTACAGGTATTTGTGTTCAACATGTAAGAAGTAGAAAGTACAGGTATTTGTGTTCAAAGTGTGAGAAGTAGAAAGTACAGGTATTTGAGTTCAACGTGTAAGAAGTAGAAAGTACAGGTATTTGGGTTCAACATGTAAGAAGTAGAAAGTACAGGTATTTGAGTTCAAAGTGTACAGTATTTTACTTTCACCACTTTGTCTTTAGCACTTTCTAATCTAACTGTTTAGTTTCTGTTCCCTTATTATGTATTATAAATCGTACTGGTAAGGCTAGCCAGGAACAAGGAGCAGAGGCAGGAGCTTTAAACACAATAATACAGTTTAGGGGAAGAGAAAGCAGGAGCAGGTCCGGTGGAGTAAGGAGTAAGGAGTAAGGAGTAAGGAGTCAGGAGTAAGGAGTAAGGAGTCAGGAGGTGAGACTGCAGGCTCAGGAGAAAACAGGTTGGACAGGGAATCGCTTGGCAGGAAGCAAACTGTTTTTTAAATTCCTGCATTCCTAAACACTGCTCGGAGCCTTCTTCATTTCTAAATATAGTCCTCTTCCACACTCACACAGGAGGAGGGAGTGCTCTGATCCTTTACTCAAGACAAAGACACACAGTTAATAAAACTTACAAGTAAAATACCTTTATTCAAAATCTTAAATAAAAGTACAAAATCTTGAGTAAAAAAAGAAAAAGTAAGAGCGGATGTCCAAAGCCCCGACGGCCTTTGACAATTTTACATTTTAAAATGGATATATTTTTGATTAAATTAAAATGAACTGTTCACCTGGGTTACAGATATGGGCATGCATAGCAATCATATGACCAATTACTCTGAAGGATAAAGTGTGGTATAGCAGAATGTAAAGTGGAAGATCTGTGCAGGTTTTAAATCATAGAAATGTAAGGTGTCCAGAGGCCTGTACTACGAAGCCGGATGTTCTCTTAGCGGCTAACTTCAGGGTAACTCTGGGTTTCCGGTCCTACGAAGCTGGTTCTCTTCTTAGCGGCTAGATCTCCATGGTAACTGATGCTGAGCGGCTAGCCTGCTCCGGAGCGGGTTAGGTTGCAGGCTAAGAGATCAACTCAGTGAAAGCACCGCCTGCTGACCAATCAGAGCTCAGTGTGGAGTTTAAAGCGATCAAGTCATATTACAGGAGAAAGGAAATACAGAAAAGCTGCCGTCGCAGGAAAGACGGCCGGCAACAATCAGCGACTGTGTGAACGTGAACATGAATAGAATATCACCTCCATCTTCAGAGCAATCTGACTATTATAACATTAGCGTTAAGAAAGCTTACTGAAATATCTGCCACAACATCAGTAACCGGATCAGAGTCACATTAAGTACAGTCCATATCACTTCATAATGTATCATCTCCTGATCTGAGTCAGCGTCTCCAATATCATTGACATGCAGCCAGATGTTGCTTTCTGCAGGTCTTTGTTGTTACACACATATAACAGCAAGACAATCTGCAATATAACTTATTTGCAAAATACATATATATATTTACAGCTTTATAAATATTATATTATTACTGGCCCCCCGTAGTTAGACAACTCAATTCATCTCATTTAATAACTGTACCTGTTCACTATATACTGCTTTTAAATACTATCGCCTGGCTACTCTCTGGATTGTGATTCTGTAATGCCTTTGAACTTTTAATCAACATTAAGCTGTCTTTGGCTCTTGCTGTAACAATGTATATTTCCCCTCTGTGGGACGATGCTGCTTCTTTTATACGCGCTCGCAGTTAAACCCGGCTCCCCGTCTCTCTGTCGCTCTGTGTAGCTGGCCTGTACGACTACACTTCCTCCTCCACATAATCTAGTCTGTCCTTGCATGTGATTGGCCGCATGGTGTTCTGAGCAAAATAAAGTCCCGCCCTCCTGCATGCATGGATTCTCAGCAGGAGACTGAAGATTGGGCTCTTCTCGTTCAAAGAGTCGCCTCGTTGAAATAAATACAACCAAGTGTTAAATCAGACTTTAGTTCTCCACTCCAGTTCAGAGGTACATGGTGTACTTTTCCTCCTCTACAGTTCAGAGGTACATTGTGTACTTTTCCTCCACTACATGTATTAATACCTTTAGTTACTTCACAGATGTGGATGAATGATGTGAAATATAATCAAGTGTTGAATCAGACTTTAGTTCCACCTGGAGTAAATCCACCAGCTACCCTGCAGTATACAAAGTCCTTCAAACTAGCTGCACCTCCACCAGCTACCCTGCAGTATACAAAGTCCTTCAAACTAGCTGCACCTCCACCAGCTACCCTGCAGTATACAAAGTCCTTCAAACTAGCTGCACCTTCACCAGCTACCCTGCAGTATACAAAGTACTTCAGACTAGCTGCACCTCCACCAGCTACCCTGCAGTATACAAAGTACTTCAAACTAGCTGCACCTTCACCAGCTACCCTGCAGTATACAAAGTACTTCAAACTAGCTGCACCTCCACCAGCTACCCTGCAGTATACAAAGTACTTCAAACTAGCTGCACCTCCACCAGCTACCCTGCAGTATACAAAGTACTTCAAACTAGCTGCACCTTCACCAGCTACCCTGCAGTATACAAAGTACTTCAAACTAGCTGTACCTTCACCAGCTACCCTTTAGTATACAAAGTACTTCAAACTAGCTGCACCTCCACCAGCTACCCTGCAGTATACAAAGTACTTCAGACTAGCTGCACCTTCACCAGCTTTGAGAACACTTTCATGATCAATCATTATAAAACATATCATATATATTATTCTGAAATGGACCAATCTGCACAACGACTACTTTTACTGTCTTTCACTATATTTAGATGAGAATACTTTCATGATCAATCACATACATGTTGATCATTTAACTGCAGTTTCCTTCCTCAGTGTTTGCTTCGTGGGCTCAATCCAGTTGCTCAACGTGAGCGTAACATATATAAATGTGTATCTACATTTTTATGCATATACATTTATATATACAGTATATATAAATGTATAAATACATATATATATGTAAATATAGTTGTAAAAAAAGTGGTTTCAAAATATTGTTTCAAACATCAAGTAGATATCGAACACACCCTAAAATGGCATTTTTCTTTGCAAAATATTGATGTTGTAAAAAGTTTCCTGTTAGAAAGAAATGCACTGCTGACTTCTGCCTTTCTGCTTTTTCTTGATTTTCTCCCAGAGTTGATGTTGAGGGCAAAGCCTGCAGAAGACGTCACTCTTCCGTGCAACAGCTCCAGAGATGCTGCCATCACAAAGTTAGAATGGAACAGAACTGAGCTGAAGCACTACGTCTTCTACTTCAGCGATAACAGGCAGAATGAAAACTACCAGGATCCACGTTATCACGGTCGTGTTCAGCTGAAAGATCCAAAGATGAAGAACGGAAACGCTTCTGTTCTCCTGAAGAACGTCGGCATCGACGACACAGGAACGTACGAGTGTTGGGTTATAACTCACTCCAATAATCGCAGGAAGAGAAACGAGAGAGAGTTGGTGCGCTCCGTCAATCTGATCGTCTCTGAAGGTGAGTCTGTGTTTCTCCTGAAGAGTTCCTCCATTGGTTTAAAGATGATGTTGATGCTCTGTGATCGGTAGATAATGTCTGACATGAGACTGGAGAGGAAACAGATTGTGTTCTTCATCTCCTTCATGATCAGCTGTTCTCCAACATGAGGGGACGTCCAGTCGTTTCCTCACTGCTCGCTCTTTCTGTCCTCAGGGTCTGAGAAGCACCTGAAGAATGGAGACGCCAACGATGAACAACCAGAGGGTTCAGGAGGACACGTTGTGTTGGGAGCTAGTTTGGGACTGGTTTTCTCATCGTTGGTGTTGTACTTGTAAAATGTCCAAGAGCTAAAGAGAAGAGATCATTAGAGAGAGTCGATGAAGAGGAAGTGATCAAACTGAACCCCTTAGATGTCAAAGACCTCTTCACACCTGACTGTCCTCCATCCCCTGCTTCTCCTCTCCTGAATGTCCACGTTGTCGTGGTGGAGGGTCTTGATGAATAACCCAACCACCTGCTCTACCTGAGGGGCTCACTACTATCAGTCAGATTACAGGGATATCAGGTGCTCACGCTGCAGACACACGCTGCTCCGGACCACGTTGTGTTCAGGGCTTAACATCAGCAAATACCTCCGTTCTGTACCTACTTGAAATATTAAATTAAATATAAATGAATGTACAGTCAGACTATGAGAGGTAATATTATCAGCTGAAGGAATACGTTACATTAATGTCTCATATAACACTGTGCAGTTACAGTCAACTGTATGCAACATCTATCAGTGATTTGCATCAGAACAAGATATCAGATTGTTATGTTATCTTTTTCATTTACCTCTTTTAGGGATTTCTTTGTTGTTTTTATCTTTCAGTTTTGTTTGTTTTTCAATAACAAATGTATTTTATATATATATATAAGAAATATATATATATATATATGTTAATAATTTAGTTTTTGGGAGAAGGGGTGATTAAATAAGTGTAAACTTCTTCTCACGCATTTTTGGATGTGTAATTAAGAAGATCATTTGATTATATATAATTTATAGGTCAGTAATATTTCTGTTTATACACAGCTGATAGAAAGGGACACCTGGTGGTCAAAGCACGTTATTGAATTGTATTATTTCATTATTAGATATTAATAGGAGGATGTGCAAAACAGACAAACTAATAAGGCTTAATTTAAACATTAAAGAGTACTTTAGGTTCAGGTCTTCTTTTGAATAAGAAGAAGCTTTAAGAAGAATATGGAGGGATGAAACCCTCTTGAAACCGCAGGTCCTTCCTTCCTGCAGAGGTCAGACTTTACAACCAGCACTGCCCCTAGAAGACCCTCCTACACACACCACAACACAGACTATAACACCCCTTGCTGCTAAATACAAACCAACTTTGTGCAATATGTGCAATATATATATATGCCATTAATAACTGTAATGTATACCTGGCCACTAAATCATATATATGCCGTTTTGTTTTTGATCTGTATTTTTGAAAATGTTTTCTTTTAGCATATTGTTTATTTTATTCTAACTTAGTACTTTGTTAACGCATGTAAGATATGCAACACTATGTCTGTGGCTCTTTCCTGCTGTAACGCTGTTCCCTCTGTGGAACTAATAAAGGTATTCTGATTCTTTAATGGTCACACATGCAGAGCACACAGCACACACAGTGACATGTGTTTCTACAGATAAATATTAAGCCTGACAAAGTACTTAACGTCTAATATATTGCTTTCCTGCAATGTTAACTATGTTTAAGCACTTATTTGTTTATTATTTGTTTATTATTAAACTGATATTATACATATGTATTATACTCTTATGTAGATAGTATAAGAAATGTGCAGAATGACAGTTTAATGGTGGAGTATACACACATATTGAAAGATGTCTTGTAATGCGCTGTTGAGGAACCTGCGACACAAGTTTTTAGTAGTCGTACACATGCCGCTTTCGTCTCATTAGTATGCATAAAAAGTGACAGGTGGATACGCCCCCAATTATGCAAATGAGCTAAGTCCCGCCTCCCATTATTCGCGATCCTTTGATGTGAGGGTGAGGGGTCATCACCCGCTAGGGGTGAAATGCCCCCCTGTGTAGCGCCTTTGTTGTCTAATTCTTTGATGTGTTGATTAAGTCTCTTTGAAGCTGTATTGTAGGCCCCCCTCAGAGCCCTTTTGTTGTCTAATCTAATTATGAAGTCTAATCTAATTATGACGTCTAATCTAATTATGACGTCTAATCTAATTATGACGTCTAATCTAATTATGACGTCTAATCTAATTAGCCTTTGGTGTTTGCCCTTTGATGTGAAGTGTTATAACAGGCCGGTGTGACTTCACACTGGTGTGCTATAAACCTTTGATGTTAATCTAGGTGTCTCTTTGAAGTTATGTGTGAGACTGTCTACCCAGCCCCCCTCCCAGCCTCCCCCCTTTTCTACCCCTTCCGGGGCTATGACGCGAACTAATAGTGGGGGGTGGAATTAGGTAGAAATACGCTCAAACGAAATAACAAGACAGCAATTCCATTTACCCAGTCACCTTTTCAAAAAAGAAAAATGGCAAGAGACGCCTCGAATGGGGTTTAATCAGCCTGTGACAACTTACAGCCATCCGTCCGTAGCGTCAGTCAAGAAACGAATGCAGCAGCAGTGCGGGGGTCAGACGCCTACAGCCTGTGCACAAACTTATCTCGTGCCCTCTTTTGGTCATGCGCGCGTTCATGTGTGTTGGAGGAGGGGCTCTGTGAGGAAGTGGCAGATTTCCCCCCGGTTTGACTGCAAAAGACTCTCACTTTTTACAGAGGGCTCCGCCTCCCCCTCAACATAACAAGCCCTGCCTTTCCTCACCAGATCATTTAAAAATGAGAACACCTCAAGGACATTTTGTGAGCAACAACCATGGATCTGGGAGAAAACAACTCTCTCAGCTGCAGCCTGGAGCAAACGCCTGTAGGACCTCCATCCTCTCCAACAATCTGGACACCAGATCTCGACAGCTATATGGCTGATATTGATATTACGGGGTGGCTGGATATGCATCAACCTCCATCTACTCCATCCGAGTCTCCAGGGGAATCAACAGCAGTAGGCATTGATGCGCCATGTTTTGACATCGTCATTCCTGAATACGGTAAAAGCAGTTGTAGTTCATCTGTTGGACAGGGTAGTGTACCTTTACAGAAAGGAATTTTTTTACGGATGTTAAGTCGATCACCCAAGTCAGAGGCGGCACGAGTGTTTATTTCCGACCGAAGAATACTATCTGGATCGAAACTATGATGAAGTGGTAAAGAGACCGTGGACCGTTCGTTTCATTCCAGCTATTCGGGACGCTCTACACCAGAGCCACCTTCATGTGTCGGAGAGGAGAGTCTTTGGAGCTACTGAGGCGATTCTGCACAATCTCAGAAACACCAGAGTCTTTGAGGCTAAAATGAAGAAGCTTTACGAACAGCTTATGGAGAACGACGAGACCCGTCTGAAGACTATAAGAGCAGCTTGGGCCTTTTGGCAGCAATAGGAAGAGTTTTTAAAAATTTTTTAATTGTATCTGTTTTTATTTTAGGCTACTTGATCTAGTGTGTCCTTCCTAAAAATCATGTTTATTATTCTCTGCTTAGAGAAAATGTTTTTTATACATGTGTGACATATCAATAAAACGCTTTGTAAGAAAAACTGTTGTACTCATTACCTCATCGGCTGTAACAGGAAACATGTCTGAGAAACGTGTCATGCATAAAGTGTATTACACTCTTTCTAATCCAGGGAGTTTAGGAGGTGTGGATAAACTCCATAGAGCTGTACAGAATGAAATGGGTAAACAAGTAAATGTAGAGAAAGTCAGAGAATATTTATCTGAGCAGGATGCATATACTTTACATAAGCCGGCTCGGGAGCATTTTGTAAGAAACAGAGTTTCCGTACTCAGACCGCTGCAGCAATTTCAAGCAGATCTCTGCGATATACAGTCGCTGTCCGAACATAATGATGGTTTTAATTATTTGTTAACAGTCGTAGATGTATTTCGAAAAAAGCCTATGCTCAGGCATTAAAGAAGAAGACGGGTATTGAGGTTACCCAAGCCTTTGATACAATTTTAACACACAGTGAGATCCCTAAAAAGATACAAACAGACGCGGGGAAAGAATTCTTTAACAAAGTTTTTCAAAACTTATTGAAGAAAAGAGGTATACAACATTATGCAACCGCCAGTGATATGAAGACATGTGTGATAGAGAGATTTAACCGTACGCTGAAAACTAAAATGTGGAGGTATTTTACTGCTAAAAACACTCATAGATATATAGACGTCTTACCCGAACTACTTGAAAGTTACAATAATAGTTATCACCGAAGTATTAAGATGACACCACTGCAAGTGACTAAGGAAAATGAGGCTCAAGTGTTCCGGAACCTGTATAACCCCTCCAGCCTTCGTAAAAAAGCTGTTGCCAAAATAAACTTTAAGGAGGGGGAGCTTGTAAGGATATCCAAATTGAGATATTTGATATATGAGCAGAGTTATACGGACGAGTTATTTACGGTGTCTGAAGGCTTACCTCGACAGCCACCTGTTTACAAACTCAAAGATTATGATGGAGAAGAGATCAAGGGTACTTTTTATGAGAAAGAGTTACAAAAAGTGAAGATAACTAATGACAAGGCTTTTCAAGTCGAGAACATTCTAAAAAGGCGGGTGGTGAGAGGGAAAAAACAAATGTTTGTATCTTGGCATAATTGGCCCGAAAAATTCAACAGCTGGGTTGATGCAGGCGAAATCCAAGATGTATAAAGCAAACAGAATCAACGCTCAGTCCTTCATTACAGCCATGGAGATAAATGAAGGGTTCTACATTACGCTGCCGTCCAATGCCAGCCTTGATGTATTTCAAAACAATACAAGCTCTAGTTATCAGGTGAACCTGGCCCAGCCTTTACACTTGGATGGTTCGTGGCAAGTCGCCATGACAGAAATGTCATACCCGCACACCTGGTACAATATACCTTTTGAAGTAGCCTGCTTTGAATGGATAAAGAAAGCAAAACTCCCCGACATATCTAATAAGTTAAAACTTCATATGTTTAGAGCTGGTTACTATAGTAGCATAACTCAGCTCATGGAGGAACTAGAGTCCTGCTTCAGAAAAATTGACTCTGATGTCACTTTGTACTATAGTCCAATTCACAGGAAAATTGAATTTCTAGGAGGGGGCCAATATCGTTTCCGCTTTCCAAAACCCGTCGCTTATATGCTTGGACAACACACTCTCACTCCCTAAGCGTCCAGGAGCGACGTTTGGTCAGTGTCCGTGGCGTCCAGTTGTGACGCTCCTAGGCTCCTTCAGCGTCATAAAGGGACGCAAATAGCTTTCAACTGATTGCAATGTCTTCCCATCTGCGGCGGGATTTGACGCTCATGGAAGCACGGCATTCGTTTGTGTCGGCTGCCCTTAAAGGCAATGTGAGCGTCCATTCCCATTGGATAACGGAGAATTGTACACCCGGAAGTAAGTATTCCTCTTACTGTGGATTGATTTGACAGTGATATCTGCACTACTCATCGACTAAAAAACACCAGATTATCCTTGTTAATTACACAACATTGATTGGTTTAAATTGTGTGCAATGCTTTTGTATTTTTCCCCTTCGATTCGGAGAAACAAATGTTTTTTCTGAGTAAAGGATGGCAGAAGACACTACACTACCCAGAATCCCCAGCTATCGTTTGGACTACACCATGTGCTCTGTTTGACAAACCCCGTGATAGTCCTCAAGCTCTGTGATTGGAGAGTGTGCTCCGAGGGTTAAGCAGAGCGTCGAACAGCACTTGAAATGGGATGGAATCACGGCAGACTGTCCAAAACTGGATTTGAACGGGTCCCCCGCGTCCCCCCTCCCCCACCCCGTCCCCAGAACTACACATGCTGGCTATTCTGTTTCGCAACATGTTCTCTATCTATGGCACGTCTCTACTGGGAGTTGTAGTTTTAAAAGACGTTTTCGTATTTCCCATAATAAGAAGTGGCCAGTATTAAACTGTGTACATCCCTGGAGGTTTAGGGGATAGGAAACACTCACATTTAAAACATATAATTAATAAATGGGTGAAAATTGCTTGTGCCCATAATGGGTAGCACACACATGCCAGCTAAGGTCAGAAGAGCTTTATTTAACAGCTGGTCTTATGTTTGTGACC